AGAGAGAGAGAGAGAGAGAGAGAGAGAGAGAGAGAGAGAGAGAGAGACACTTAAAAAACAGGCACAACAAGGGACAGAGGACACGCGCCCCGGGACGCGTGGTGGGTCGTGCCGCCACCTACCGAGTCCGAGCCGTAGCCTCGGGTTTGCAGGACCCTCACGCCCCAAGCCCCGAGCCGAGCCCGAGCCGCCAACGCCGAGCTTGCCATTGTTTCCTGCACCGCTCTGTTTGCGTCCCGGGCGTGGTTGCTTTTCTCCTAGCGCGAAAACTGCGAGGGCGGCCGAGCCGCCAATCTGGAGGCTGGGAAGGCGGGACGAGCACGGAACAAGCGAATCAGGAGGGAGGGATGGGGTTCCAGCCTCCTTTCGCCAACGCCGAGAGGGAGGCTGGTGTAGGTCTTAGCCAGCTGGTGGTTAAACCTGAGCTCCAGTGCGTCTCCACCGACTACAGAGCAGCGTCAAGAGATGGAATCTCGGCTTTTGGTCTCATCGGAATGAGGCATGTCGTCCACTCCCACAGCACAGTTTCAGTGCTAGGGTCGATTTTTATTAAAAGTTGTAAATGGTGGCCATCCCTACGGATATCAATAAATCGGGGAAATACAAGGTTTGTGGTAGCTATGCCCAGGATGCCAAGAGCCAGCATACCTTTATTTACACATAGGAAATCGTGTTCATTTCTAAGGAGGTGTTCTTGTTCTTCGTTATGTTGCTACTTCAGTCTCTCCTCTCACTTCCTCAGAGAAACCTTCTTTGACCTTCTTAGTCATCCTGTCATCAGCAGTATTTCTAATCCTACCTCCCAGTTCTCTCTCTCTTATTTTGTGAAGCTATCGGAGCCTTAGGAGGCAGTGAATTAGTAATATATATATATATATATATAGTTTATAATATATAAATATATTTATAATATATAAAATATATATATTTTTTCCGAGACAGGGTTTCTCTGTGTAGCCTTGGCTGTTCTGGACTCCCTTTGTAGACCGAGCTGGCCTTGAACTCACTGAGATCCGCCTGCCTCTGCCTCCCCAGCTGCTAGAATTACAGGCATGTGCCACCGTGCCCAGTTGTGATTTAGTATTTTTGAACTGGATTAATATATCATTAAATGGACCAGATAACTTTTGGTGACATGGTGCAACGAAATGAAACAGACATGTAAACTGGTGGCACAAACCTGCAATCCCAGCACTCCTGAGGCGTAGGCAGGGAGGAAGAGCTCACGATTAATCCAGCCTGTTCTACATGGGGAATTCTGGGCCAGCCAGAGCTTCATAGCAAGACACCTGTTTTAAAAACCCAAGCAAACAGCCTGGTGTGTTGCAGCACGCCCGTAATCCCAGCACTCAGGGAGGCCGAGGCAGGCAGAGCTCTGTGAGTTCAAGGCCAGGCTGATCTACAAAGCGAGTCCAGGACCTACAAGGCTACACAGAAGAAACAAAAACAAAACCAAAAAACAAAACAAAACACACAAAAAAAAAAAAACAATACAAACAGGGCTGGAGAGATGGCTCAGCAGTTACAGAGCACTTGCTGCTCTTCCAAAGGTCCTGAGTTCAATTCCCAGGATCCACAACCGTCACAACTGTCTGTAACTCCAGGTCCAGAAGATCTGGCAACTTCACACACACCTGCCTCCCAAGTGCTGGGATAGTCTCCACTTGAATGAACTTTAAAAACACTCTATGTGAGGGGCTGGCTCATGTAGAGATGGCTCAGAGGTTAAGAGCACTGACTACTCTTCTAGAGGTCCTGAGTTCAATTCCCAGCAACCACACCATCTTGTGGTTGATGTGGTACCTTCTTCTGTCGTACAGGTATATGTGCAGGCAGAGCACTATAGTAAATAAATAAAGCTTTTAAAAAATTCATGTGTGAGCCTGACAGTAGTGACACACACTTTTAATCACAGCACTTGGAAGGCAGAACCAGGCGGATGTGAGTTTGAGGCCACCATGGTCTTCAGAGAGAGCTCCAGAACAGTCAAGGAAACAGAGAAGTCCTGTCTGGAAAACTAAAAATGTTATAGGTGGCTAGGCATGGTGATACGTGCCTCCTAGAACTCGGGGAGTGGGTCGGGCAGAGGCAGTTGGATTTCTGTGAGTTCGAGGCCAGCCTAGTCTATATCGTGAGTTCTAGAAGCCAGGGCTATGTAGAGACCCTGTATCAAAAAACAACACCAGAAGTGTGTGTGTGTACTGTGTTTGCATTGGCTGGCTATGGCGTACGTGTGAAGTCAGAAAGAAACTTTTGGGAGTCTCTTTTTTTCTTTCACTCTGTGGTGCCCCGGGAATCGAATTTAGGTTGTCAGGTTTTGAGGTTAAGAGCCCTGACCAGCCGGGCTACCTCGAAGGTTCTTTATTTTAATTTCTTTAAAAAAGTCCAAGTACGCCTTTAATCCATGCATTCAGGAGGCAGAGGAAGACAGATCCCTGAGTTCCAGGACAGGCAGGGCTACACAGAGAAATCCTATTCCGAAAAAAAAAGCAAAAGCAAAAGGGTTTAGGTAGGGTCTTGGGCCCTTTAAGTGCGGCTCGCCGGCAGAGGCTGGTCGCAAGGCCGGCTTGGAAGGGTCACGTGACGCTGCGCCTGCGCAGAGCGGTCACGTGGTGGCTAGCCGGAAAATGGCGGCTTCGGGAGAGAGCGGGGCTTCGGGCGGCGGAGGCAGCACGGAGGAGGCGTTTATGACCTTCTACAGTGAGGTGAGCCCGCAGTAAGGACCGCGTCCTCGGGGAAGCTGCGCTCCGGCTCCGTCCGCAACGGCCGGGGGCGGTGGGACGCCTCCCGGGACCGTTGGCCCGGGCCGTCTGGCCTGGGGATTGCGGACCGGTCGCGGGATGCGTGCGCCACCGCCACCGGCGGCGGCTGGGGTCCCCCGGAGCGCGGCGGGGCCTGCAGACCCGGACCCCGAGAGGGCCCGATGGGCCGCTTGTCGCATGATGCAGCCTGCAGGCCGGGGAGTCTCCCGACTGGCGGAGGCCGGGCCCTGCCAGGCGGAGAGCGAGCTGCTGCGCACCTGCTTTTATTTGTAAACAGGAGCGAGGCCTTTCCCCGCTCCTCTACCGTGGACTGTGTGAGTGGCCATTTCTGCGGTTTTACCAGTGCTGAGCACTTGTTCGTCGTGACAAGAATGCGTTATGTGACTCCCCCACCCACCCCCCATCTTTGAACGTGACGAACCTTGGGAGGGTGCATACGTACTTGGTTCTGCGACTTAGCAGCTAACAACCTGGTGTCAGGTAGGACAGGAGTGAACTTGGCCTGAGCCTTGCTCACGATTGCGTCACCAAGCGCCTAGTGATGGTGGATGTTCAGTATATAGTCACTGGTTAAATGAATGGATAAGGTGAATGAAAGGAAGCTGTTTGTAGCAGAGGCCCTCCCACTAGTTCTTGCAAGCCAGCCTGACTGCTGTTGAAATCTTTCAAGATACCATTTACCACACTTGTGAGTTGAATTGTGAGAGTTTTCGCGTTAAAGGATTTAATATATAAGAGAGCAGCTTGCAAATTATAAAGTAGAAGAAAGGTAGTTTTTTTGAAGTCAATACTTATACCAGTACTTCCTTCATGGTGTTGGCCTTTTGTTTTGCTCAGTGTTTGAGAGATTTCAATCCATTTTGGTGGGGATGTGGGCAGAGCAGTTCATATCTTTTGTAAAAATTATTTATTTTATGTGCACTGGTGTTTTGCCTGCACATGTCTGTGTGAGGGTGTCAGATCTTGACAGTTGTGGGTGCTGGGAATTGAACCCTGGTCCTTTGGAAGAGCAGCCAGTACTCTTAACCATTGAGCTATCTCCCCAGCCTCAGGCAGAAAGCAGAGAAAGAATGCCTGTGCATCACAGTCTTATTAATTCAGCTTTGGGTATGAGCACATCCTCTTTTTGTCTTTATATTTTCTTTATTTACTTAGGTTTTTCGAGGAAGCATTTCTCTGTGTGTAGCCCTGGCTGTCCTGGTGCTTTATCTGTAGACCATGCCTGCCTTGAACTCACAGAGATCATCTGCCTCTACCTAAGACAGTACCGTTCAGCTTGTCTTTTTATTTTTAAAGACTTTTTATTTATGTAACCTCATGCCTGCATGAGTGCCTGGGCACCAGAAGAGGGCACCAGATTTTGCTGTAGATGGCTATGAGCCACCATGAGGTTGGCTGGGAATTGAACTCGGGACCTTTGGAAGAACAGCCAGTGCTCTTAACCTCTGAGCCATCTCTCCAGCCCTTGTCTTTTTATTTTTTAGATGTGTTCTCAGTGAAGCCTAGGTTGGCTTACTACTTTGCAGTGCAGCCTGCTGGGAACTGGTGGTGATCCTCCTGCTTCATCCTCCCAGATGCCACACCCAGCTTTATGTCTGGTAGGCAAGCAGGCTACCAACTGAGCCACATACCAAGTCCCCCATAATGGTGTTAAATGGTGTTCATAGTTCATGGCTTAATGTAATTGCACTTTTTCCTCTCAAAATGAAAAAAGCTGGGTTAATTGCATCCACACGCAGCTGTGTGGTCTGTGATTCAAGCTTTGTGGAGATGTCTGTTTTTTAATTTTTTTTTTAATTTTATTTTATGCACATTAGTGTGAAGCTGTCAGATCCTTTGAATTGGAGTTACAGACAGTTGTGAGCTGCCATGTAGGTTCTGAGACTTGGACCTGGGTCCTTTGGAAGAGCAGACAGTGCTCTTAATCACTGAGCCATCTCTCCAGCCCAAGGTGTCTGTTTTATTATCTGAGAATCTTCTTGATGTCTGATTGAGAATCAAACTGTTAGGGTAAATTTCTCACAAATTAAGTAATTGGAAATCACAGACTCTTTAAGCCTTAATTTTCCTATGTGTAAAATGGGAAAAATGATACTACCTTCCAAGAAGAATTGTTACCATAAATAATACATGTAAATTTTCAAATTTGTGTGTAGTATACATGTGTGTGCAAGTTTGTACAAATGGGCACAGATGTCTGTGGAGGACAGAGGTCATTGTCATGTGTCTTTCACCTTCCATGTTATTTTTTAAGACAGGATCTGTCGCCGAACCTGGAGTTCACCAGTTGTGTCCAGTGAGCTCTGGGGAGCTACCTGTCTCTTTCCCTAGCTCTCGGGTCACAGGTGCCTGTGCCCACGCTCAGCTTCTGTGTGGATGCTGGAGACCCGAACTGTTACTGTAAAATTAGCTGTGCTGTGGTAACCATTCTTTAGTGTTTATAGCAAAGTGTCTTCTTGCACATGGTAGGTATGAATAGATGTTTGCCGAGCATATTAGTGTT